AGGGTGGCTGAAATTCAACATCACAATATTTTCAGATGTTTATAAGGGCAAATTTCTTGTGATTTATTTTTCCCCACACTCTTCTCCAATTTTAGTATTTGTGTGGTTTTATGAAGCAAAAACAGTCATAATTCATTTTAACAGTACCATTTTCCAATCTATATCCCTTAGACTTAAACAGGCTGCTTTTAAGACAGATACACATAAATGGGTTCTGTTCTGATTAGCTGTCCTGTATTGTGCCGCATTCAAAAAGCAGTCCGGCTCAAACACTCCTTATAACTTTAGCATAAAAAGGTGAAGCTTAACTGGTGTGGACTGAATAGGAGGATATATATTTTTTAATTTTTTCATGATGTTACAGAAATGATTCATTCAAAAAGGGCTGTTTTTACAGTTTGACTGTATGGACTGAGGAGAGAATGGTTCATTTATGTACTATATCTGATGCGTGCAAAAAGTGAGCAAAAGGTGGTTTTCCTATATGGTATAGGCCCTTTAAGTGTGCGTTAATAATGTTAATAAAGCCATACTTCCTGAGTACTGGTAATCAATGGTAAAAGGATTCCTTCCAAATGATAGCTTGTTTAGACTGGACTCTTTGGCTCTGTTCTCAAATTTACAACAAAAAGAACTGCATACAGTATCATAAATGCTAACCAGACAAGAAGCCAGATCTCTAAGAGTGCTTACTATTAGTTTAGCTTTGACATATTTTGAACTTTTTTCTCAAAACAGTTTGAAGCACTCTGCAAATATCATACACTGCAGTTTGCTATCAATCAGTACCGCTAGAACTAAAAATCAATACCATTAATATGTTACAACAGTGATGCTATACTGTTACAGAGGATGTATCACCCAGCGCTATCAGTAGCCATGTGTCAGGGAATCTTCCATTTGTGTCCTGACAATAACTCTGAGGCCTCAGTGATGCACCAGGGCCCACCAGTACTAACACAGTTAATGTCCTAGAATCGAACTCAGTAAAGTAGGCCACTCGAAGATTAGCCCTTCGGGACCCCAAGTATGGAGTGGCCAAGTAGCATCTACACTGAAGCGTACTAGACTACTGTCACAGGACTAGACCATTTTCTACTGCTGCTGAGGGACTGTAAATCGTCAGAAAGGACTGAAGTGGTGTATATAAATAAACAAAGTCAGAGACCAGCATTCATGTATTTAATTCCAGTGAAATCGGCCATTAAACACGGGTTATTTTTTTTGTAGGAGATATTTCTGAGGAGATTAGATAAAAGATTATCCACTTGCATAAATAAGGGAAAACTCAAAGGAAAACATTTCCAAAACTGGAGTTCGGAGTATTATTAAAAAATATTGAGAAGATGGGACTTCTAACAACCACGCAACACCTGATAGACCACCAAAAGTGTAACCATCAGGTAGGAAATACGATAAAAGAAAATTAAGCTCCACTCTTGTCTCTGAAAATATTCACAGGTGTTTGTCTGTCCTTCCACTGTGAGAAGACAACTCAACGCTACAAGTCTGAAACGATGTGTAGTTATCAAGACGTCGTTACTGATGAAAGGAAATAGATAAAAAAGAACATTGGCAAATCAATCAAAGAAGATTGAATAATCTTGCAGAACAATGGACTGACCACTCAAGAGTCCAGGCCTCATCATCATTGAACGTGTTTGGTATTACTTGGATCGTTGAAGAAGACAATACAACCAATTTCTAAGGCTGAACTGCAGATTTCCACAGAAGGTCCACTGAAGTCCACAGAAAGGATGGAAGATGTAATAAAGGCAAAGGGAGAACACACTAAACACTGAAGATTTTGATATTATATTTATTTGTTGAGGCTTCTGTGTAATTTTCTGTCAGATCTAAGTTGTTGTAAGTTTTGTTTTTCCTGACCACGTCATCTTTAATGTTTGCATGTATGTCTTATATATGTATATCTTATCTTCACACACTTGATCCAACTTAGAATGCTAAGGTTTGCAATGTTGTACTGTAAGTGACAGCTAACTTCCATACTAGTCCAACAATGATCTATAAATAGTAAACATGTGCCCTCTGGAGATTTTAATATAGCATAAAATGTATTTATACAGTGTGAAGGACATTGGTATCCTTAGTATAAGCCTGAAATGCTGCATGGTATAGCGTTTATCTGCACAAACCAGGGCACAAATATAGGATGCATACTGATATGTTGCCAGTTGCTGTCAAAAATGATATATTTATTAGGCCTTACATCAGCACAAGAGTAGTACTGCATACAAACAAGATGTTTGTTTATTGTGTTTGTTGTGGCTGTATGCTGCACTACACTGAATATAAAGTCTGAGCTGTCTACATGTTTGGGATTTTTAGTAGCTGGTTATTTATTGATGTGTTTTGTTCATGATAAGATCTCTGAAGTTCTGTTTAAACAGGAAGCAGCATGGAGCTGTGGAGTTTTGGGGTGGGTTTGGGAGTGAATTAGCAAAGAACATGGCTCTGGTCTGCAAAAGTGCATTCCCATGGTTGATGAGCTGTAAGGCATGCAGGGAGGAAAGCATCAGAGCGACTGTGTGGAGGCTTTTGCTAAGTTGTGCTGAGTGAATGTCCTGAGGTCTGTGTGTGGGTGCAGGCCAGCATGACTCACTACTGTTAGTGACTGCGTTCTTATAAATAAGGGTTCTTAAAGGGCGTTTTAGGATTCTGGATACAGCCATTTAAACAGGAGAAACCCTCTGGGCTCCTGAATGCATTCTTAGGGTTTTCCACAGACAAACCGTGACAACGTGGCAAAAATAGCAGTCATTGCTGTCACTAGCAGAGTCAGTTACACCTTTAGCCACAAAGATGCAGCTTCAAAATTTTCTTTTTATAAATCCTCCTTCTTATTCTGTCTTAGAAACGTTATGACAAGACGAACAAACAAACACTTCTTCCTTGTAGCTTAAAGGGGAACAGTTTTTTTTAGAATTTTGAGACTGTTCACAAACTGAGATGTAAACAAAGTCATTCAAAGGGTTTGGATGAGAGAATTGAAAAATAGAAGAAAATTGCATTGAAGAAAAAAGTACCAGCTTGGAGTTTGTTACAATAGTGGTGACAGGAACCAGGGGTCGCAAAACTTGATATAGCAATAATGGAAATATAGCCATTTTGTTTACTATCCAAAATAACCAGTGAACCAACAAGTCTTCTTAGCTTTTATATGTAACATTGATTATATTATTGTAGGGTTAAATCTGAATAGCTGGTGCTATTTGTACCACTCTGCAATGAATGGATTTAAAAAGAATACATGTTACGACAAATTTTTATCTAAAACTATCATTAAACAATGGCATTAGGCAACATATATGTACCATTTTATGTAATAGTTTTCTGTGAAATAGCCTGGAGATGCATTAAACTCTCACAATTCAGACTTACTAGATTTCTCTAGGATTGTGCAGTTCACACCAAACCACTTTGTTTATATCTTAACTATTAAATTATGAAGAAATATCAAAAGATCAGTGGAATTCCTCTTTAAGGTTTAAGGTTTCTTTGTCATTTTACTTGATTGCAAAGGATCTTTATAGATCTTTACAGAGCCTTTATGAACCTATAAACCTTTATTAGTTTCATGTTTGTCTCTAGGTCAATGTGTCAGTATTACAAGGCGTACTTCATAGTGTACAAACGCAGGCCCATGTTTGCTCACTGCTGCATAATTTTAAATATATAGGAAAGTGCTTCTGCACTTCAGTTCTAAAGCTCAGGGTAGAATTACAGTGGAATACTTGACGACACATTGGTGTGCTTAAATGTGAGAGGACTTTTATTCTGTTTGAAGAGCTGCATTATAGTAAAATTCTGAGAAAGCCATTGAGACAAATCAATCACTAAAGGCCTGGACGTGTCAGTAGCCGGCATGCACACACACACTGGTGCAATGTAGGCACACACATACACACTCATTCTGTAAAGTCTAACAAATATGTGACTGATTGATGGCAAAGCCCAGTGATAAATGGAGGCCTGTAGGCTATCAGACAAGCTCCTGTATGTCACCTGTAGAGATACATATAGATTATCAGAGAGAAGCTGTATGGCCTAAGTCTGGCTCAGTGTACTTTCACAGAAATTACATATGTACAAACCACACAAGCTGTTAAACACTGTGGATTTCCACAGAAATCCTTTGTTAAGAGATGACAATGGGCATATTAGCCAACAAACACATCACAATAGATGATCAAAGGTGTTCAGATGTGTACATGTAGCTCTGCACACAAACTGTAATACAATCTATTTCAGTAGCAATCCTTTGTCAGGAAATGGTGTTCTATGGACAGGCATATTAGCCTACTACCGAAGCCATCTACCACATGACCACTCGAATACACAGTGCCAGCCATTCCTGATAACACAGTACCTACTAAAAGTGAGAACCAACACAGTGACCCTATCCAGGTGACCCCCCCACCCCCCCAGCTGGGATCTCCCCTCCAAAAATCCTCACACATATCGCTCTCACACTTTTACAAGTGGACGAAAAACGCTTCTTATCTCCAGTGAGTACAGTGTACGGGGGGACAGTATGCTACAGCAGGCGCCCTCTATGCCTGTGCCAACGAAAATGCTGCTGCATCACCGCCTCCGCCGCAAAGACCTCCACACTGCTGCCTCCACCAACCATCCCTCCTTTACAGCCTGGCCGAGGGGAAACGAGCAAAAACACCACAGTCTTAGGACATACCTCTTCATTTAAAATCACAGCACAGCACCCGAAACGCGATTAGGAGCGGATATCCCTTCATCCAGCGCCCGATCTGGCCAATAATCAGCCCCAGCATATCAGTGTTTATCAGCGTAAGCCGATCAGAGAAAATGCAATTATGAATCACGAATCGAGCAGATGACACACGTCCATAGAAACATTATAAACACATCCCCCGCTGGCTTTACTGGTCTGAATGGACAGCCAGTGGAATCGAAGATGAAAGGGTTAAAACAGAGAGAGAGAAAAAACGATGAGCCCTTACATTTCACTACCCGATCGGTGGCGTTCAAGACCATGTCAGCGTTAGACATCTTCATGGGCAGTGGATGTCTCAGGGATGGCTGGCGGGGTCCCCTCCTCGCAGAAGAAGAAGGAAGCGGGCTCTAGTGTGTGTCGCGTGCTGTCGCGGGCGCGAGCTGCAGTGGCATCACTCGGATGCGCGTGTGGCCGTTGTGGGAGCGCCGCTGCTGGGGGATAACCAGAGGAGCCTGGGGAGCTGCTGCTGCTGCTGAAGCTGAGGATGAGGATGAGGCTGAGGCTGAGGCTGCTGATGCTTTCGGGTGGGGGAGGATGGAGGGAACGGACGGGAAGGGGGAGGAGAGAGAGAGAGAGAGAGAGAGAGAGAGAGAGAGAGAGAGAGAGAGGGAGAGGGAGCTCTACTCGGGAGATCCTGGCGCGTTGCACCACCCCGACATGGCGAAGAGGGGAACTCCCACGCACCCATTTGAAGGGGCTGCCTGATGCTGCCATCAGGTGGAAGCGAATGGGGCTTTCCCGAGCACACGCGCGCCACGCCATGTTTTGCTAATCAATAGCCCGTTTGACGCAGAGCAGGAGTGTGGAGGGAATGGAAAGGAGTTGGGTTGCCATCATCGCACCGAGTTCATTAATGTGAGGCACGGACTCAGTCTGGCGGTTTGTCAGCAGTTTCAGGTACAAATCACGCTGTTCTGGCACAGACACACCGAGTCAGCCTCAGGACCGTAGTTTGAACGGGTTTGTGTTATGAAACTGTTTTTGGTAGTTAAATGACGACAGTATGCTGTAAAAAACATTCTGCAGGCAGTTTAGTTGTCAGAAACCGTTCAGTAGGTGAATCTAGAAATATAGTTTTGATAATCCTGTCTGACGGTTATCCGCTGGAGCACACTGGGGGAAAACAACGGTTTAATAGTGTTCGGTTACATCAGCTTCGTATACAATGTGCTAAACCTCTTGTCCACTGACAATTTGCCACACATGCAAGCAAACACAATTTTTGGGTTGAAATACCTTTAATTAACAGAAACTGATTTTTAAAAACCATTTATAACTATTGCTTTACATGATGAACGATCCGTTTATGTCATTTCTCTAATAGTTTTCTGTATTTTCTGTATTGAATACACATAAACAAAAGAGCAAAACGAAACATGTTTACATTTGTAATATTTTAAACATTTTTCTTGTCTTTTTTCATTTCTTTGTTATTTCTTTTTTGTTTGTTTTGTTTTTCTGTGTACTTAACACATGTCTGGGTGATTTCATTCAGTGCTTTTATGAATCTTTGTATCGCTTTAAGCTGCATTTAAAGCATGGGGGCTGCTATTTAAAAAATGCATTATTATTATTATTATGATGATGATGATGATGATTATTATTATTATTTTTATTATGATTATTATTATTATTTATCTATATGGTAAATGAGTAATTTAACTCAGAGCAGAGCAGACGGTCTCATCTCAACGCTGAACGGCAGCTGTCAGTCAACATGTGTTCAGCACCACGGACAGCGAACTCCATCAACTCCACCAATACAGAATAAGAATAAAAAAGAAGACAAATATGCTCAAAACCGTCAAATACCTCTTTCCAACTCTGACACTTCTCAAAACATAATAAATATAATAATGTTAAACAGATAAAACCACGAGGCCGTTCGGTAAAGTTCTCTAAATCACTGCACTCCTGTACTCATGATACTATTTTGTAACGCGCCATCATTTCAGTCAGAATCGGTGAAAAGGGGACTTTTGCTTTGAAACGCTGGTTTTGGCGGCCATTGCTGTGTGCCTTCACACCGTGAGGAGAGGAGGACCGTGCTGGGAGGAATATCACCTGTACACCCTCATACAGGGCTGATCTGAGGGATCTAGTTCTTAAATTAGATGCATCCTTGGTGGTTTTTATGTGCTTAGTGACAGTGATCTCAAAATCAGACCAAAGTCCAGGGGCGCGCGCACGATGGCTCTAAAAAGGATATACAAGGTAAGAAACTGACCCCTTCAGTGACTAATTCCGCTGCCCCCTGGTCAGAGAGGGAGTGTGCCAGTGATCTTAACCTGCATGGTTTGCTATGTTAGCGCCACCCTAATGCTTAAGTAAAGTGTAGGCTAAGCTAAGCATTGGTATCCACAGCTGCAGCATCAGTGCTTAGCTTCACTACTAACTGAGGGGCTCTGAAACCCTGATAATGCTGCCTGGCATGGCGAACACTCAAAAAGACCTTTAATTTAATTATGCCATCCGTCAAACAGAGCAGAGTTAGCACGTAAAAACATAAGATGTCATTGCAAGTCATGTGGACAGTTTTTTAACATCAAACAACACGATTTAAATTACAGGCTTGTCAGCACTCTGGATCCAGGACTCAGGGCTCTTTCTCATGATGCAGTACTTTTTGCTTTAAGAGGAAGGTGGCGATAGCATTATAGTTTTACCATTAAATATACTTTATTTTCTGTATTTGTAGGTAATATGGGTTTATTTTTCCTTCTTTGGGAACTTTTTGGTTTCACACAATTGGCTGTTTGTTTGGTTTTGTGCAGCTGAAACTCAGTAGGAGGGCCTGTCTAAGTTAAACTTACTCCTGCTGAAAAACTAGCATAGACCAGCATGATTTATGGTTTGGTTGTAGATGGTCACCCCGCATTGTCACACTAGTTGACCAGCAGACTAGCATCCAAAATATGACATATGCTGGTTTTGCTGGCGACCAGATATTCTGGTTTATGCTATTTTCTTTTTCAGCAGGGACCCCAATTCTTCATCTTCTCTTTTTCTTTTCTGTTTTTCGACTCTTACATTCTTTTTTGAGATATTATTAAACCAGTTTTTCCCTTACTTGAGCATCTTAGACAACGTAATATTAGGCGACCCCAGGGCCTTAAACAGCTGCTTATGTTACTTATTAAGCAGAGGTGACATTGGGTGCCAATGAACTTTGCATAAAATTGCTATGAAATTCATTTATTGCTCTTATAGTGCAGGATGTACACAAAGGTGCTGAGTTCTTGCATCCTGGTCCCTTTTTTCCACCTTAAATAAAGCTCTCCTTTCCATCGCCACAAATTTTAGGCAGTTAATTGCAAGGTCAGCAAACGTGTTGTGTGTATTTATTTCTCGGGTTATGGTAGCTACAGTGAAGTAGGCTAGTTGGTAGTTGTCATCTTTGCTCTGTCTCTGGGATGTAATGCAGCATAGTTGGCCCCCCAAGCTATAACCACATTGTAAAAAATATCTGTTTTTTAGCAGGTTATTACTCTGTATAATTTAAACAGAATATTTACGTTCATCACCACCTTTCTGTGTTTCCAAGCACATGTTGCATGCTGGGTAGTTTACCTGTTTCTCCACTGCTTACAGCTGCAGCACAGAGTGCACTAGTCAAATGAGATTAGAGAAAACTACTCCTTCATTATGAGAGAGCATTCCTGGCTACTTTTTCACCATGGTGATAAATTTAATTGTGCTTTTAATAACATTGTTACTATATGATAATGTTAGGTATAGTATTAAATTAGACGTGTAGCTATAGTATTGAACCTTAGTTGAAGGTAGAATAATTAAAGTAGCTGTTAGCAAGCATGCTAGCTGAAGATTAGCTATATTTTTAGATAATTTTTCTGTGACTTTTTACAGCACTTAACTAGTGTCAGCATGTGCTACAGTCTTCTAAAAGATGGACGATATATAGGGGCAAATGCTGAAATGAGAAAATAAGGATTATCTTATCTTATCTTAAAGAAACATGTAATTGTAATGAATCTGTGTTATCTTTCAGGTGTAATGATGGAGACTTTACTTCATGTAATCTGTTTTATCGAACCACCCAGATAGCAAGCATATATCAGTCCGCTAGCTTGATAAGGTAGGCACCTGACTGACTGTAGGCCACTGCTGGTCATACCTTGGACCACCCAGATTACTGTCCTGCAAACAAGCTCTAACTAGTTTTTTTATCTTCTCAAACAGATTTTAAATGCACAGAGCCTTTTATTTTGGAAAATAAACTTAGACAAACGTTACAAACAACTGAGAGAAAAAAAATAATAACTAGGCCTGATATAAAATAATTTTATAGAAAATGTTATTGCTGACACTAAGCTAGATTAAAATTATTTACTAAACTAATTTACAAAGTATACCCAAAGAAAGGACAGAAGGAAAAATAAGTAAACTGGACTGTAAATGGAAAATGAGTGATGATAAGTGGAATTTTGTCTGTTATTCTGCTTAACCTCCGGTGGGCCACCCGGAAAACACTGAGCAAAACGCCAGTGGACCGACAACTTTGCCATCAGTGGGCCGACAGTGGTCCACTATCCTCTTGCAATCCGGGCACTGAGGGCAGAGTTACCCAATTTTTTTTAGGTTTTAGTTTCTCTTAATGACCTCTAATTTTCTTATTTTCCCTCTTCATAGAAAATGTTTTTTGTGTGTGTCGCAATGTTATCTCCATGCTAAACCATAGGACTGGATATGCACCATAGTACCATGATGGTCTTTTGTTTTCATATTTGCCAGTACAGCTCGTCTTGCTCTGATAAAAGTAAACGCGGTGATTTTAAGCTTAGCAGTCGCTAATTGGACTCTCAGTAGCCAAACTTGTAAGGTTTTGCTGTATTGTCAGGATATCACTTTTGAATCATGTTGATGTGACAGCCTAAAAAAGTCACTGATTGTTGGCTTGTTATCAACAATATTTTTGTTGATGCCACTAAATCTACAGGGTTGTTAATAATGGTTGCTGTTGTCCTGTATATACACAGAATATGCACTGTAATTTAACAAAATTTTCTGTTAATCAACTGACAGAATTTTATGTAAAAATTACTGGTAATTTTTTTGCCATTACTTTTTCTGTTTTTTATGGATGGTGCAGCCCACCACCCCTACCCGTCAAATCAAATTCTGTCTACTCCACTGGTTTGCAGTGTTTTTAGATAGGACATGACAGTGCCGTGTACTACCCAGACATATTGAGAACATAAAATATGACATCTAGTGTTCACATAATGTCTAAATAAGTTACAAATTATGTTTGTGATATTGTCTGGAAATTAGGAGCTGAATGATTTTGCCCGAGACCCTCCAGCTCAATGCTCTGCCGGTCCTGTAGGAGACGACAGTAAGTGTCCTTGAGTCTTTATACTGCAGCTAGGTGGACAAAGCTCAGTGTTCCCATACAGTTAGATGCTTAATTTTCCAGGGCCTTGTCTTCATGTTGTAATCTCTGTTTCTGCTCTGCTTTGCTCAGAGTGAGAGGCATGCTGTTTATGGCATCAGCAGCACTGCAGCAGATATGGTTGATTATCACATTTCACACTGCTGAGACTATCAAATACTGTCATGTATAAAGAAACATCATTTGAACCGACAGCCTTAATGTTGCTCTCGTATTTTCTCTTACAGTGTTTCACTGGCAAGCGACTATAATGGGGCCTGTTAGTATTAACCTTCTACTGTAATTACCTTTGCATGTCTCACTGAATTAAGCAAAAAACTGACTTGTCTTACTTGTGACAGAATGACAGTCCCTACCAAAGTGGTGTGTTCTTCTTGACTGTGCACTTCCCCACTGATTATCCTTTCAAACCACCAAAGGTGAGGCAGGCCCAGTGTAATAAAATCTATGCGGTGCTTGTGTTTGCCTCTAGAGGTCTCCCTGGGTCTATTAAAACACTTAGACCTACTGCATGTGTGAACCTAGTTAAAGCTGAATAGCATATTCAGAGGTTACATGCTATCTGAGCTGTGCTGATGTATGGACTTTTCTTGCCTTCTCTCTGTTTTGGTGTAGGTTGCATTCACCACACGAATTTATCACCCAAACATCAACAGTAATGGCAGTATCTGCTTGGACATATTAAGGTCGCAGTGGTCACCAGCTCTCACCATATCTAAAGGTGATCTCAGATGAAAAGTGTGCAAAGGTGTGCAATCTTAAAAATAAAGGTGCAAAACTGAATCAAGAAGTCTTCTTTGGAGTGATACCAATTAGATGTGTGAGTGTGAAGAACCTTGTTAAAGTTTAAAGAATCTTCCCATAATGTAAAGGTTAAATACCCATTCATGTTTTTTTCCTTGACACTTATGTCAAAATCAAGCACCATTTAGGAACCTTTATTTTTAAGAGTGTGGTCAGGTAATTTTCAAATTTTTCTATATGGATTTAGCCTAGTCCCAGCCAACAAGAGGGTACACAGCTGCCATTGAGGACCACGCAGGAATATTTCAGTAGCAACAGCAGTACTTTATGAAACGTTTTTTTGTCTTTTTTGTCAGCTATTTTGGAATCAGTTACAACAGTCATGCTAATGATCTCTTATGGGAAATAATATTGTGTGCTAATAGCTTTGATTCTTACTACTTGTGAACAACATTAAGTAACCTCTGGGGCTGCACTGATGTGTAATTTTTGATTCAATAACGATAACCCATAACACCTTGTTGTGGCTGATACAAATACCAATACAAATACAGAACAGATAATCAACATTTTTTTCATTATTTCTTTCATTTTTTCAAGTTCACACTAAAATCAATGTATGGAATCACTATTAAATATTCAAAAATAGACCATTGTTTAATTATACATAACTATGACGTCAGCTAAATCAGACACGACGAGTATTGCGCTTGACATTTATGTATTTAGAAGACTTTCTTATCTCAGCTTTTATCAGTTAAAGGTTAACATTTAGGGCTTGTGTAGGCAGGTGTGCACAGGCAGGGTGAGTAGTGGTGGTGACTCTTCTCTCTTCCCCACAAGTTCTTCTGTCCATCTGCTCCCTGCTGTGTGATCCCAACCCAGATGACCCTCTAGTGCCTGAGATCGCTCGCATCTACAAAGCAGACCGCGACAAGTAGGTATTCATGGGATTCAAGCTGTCCTTCATTCATTTTGGAGTAATGTATTGTTTATGGTAAATTCCTCTCAAACTTTTCTTCTTAACAGGTACAACAGAATAGCCAGAGAGTGGACACAAAAGTATGCTATGTAGTTGGAGGTGGACAATGGAGAATTGCGCTCTGGTCCAGTAACACAATGAAGGAGGAGATGGAAAAGACACATCTCAATGGTTTCCAATTGGGTGCTTTTTTTCGAGCTGCACCCTCTACCAGTTTGCATACTGCATCCAATTCACTTTCTTGACCATTCACTTTTTTTAGCTCATTTTATACGTACAGTATTTATGAATGTTGCTCTTTTGAAGCTCGACAACTCAGAGCGAATTTTTCACCTGCGACCTGTATCAATATGAAGCAATTCGAGAGAAATTGTTCTCACAGTTTTTGTTATTTTTAAACTTATTTCTGTCTATTTTTGTCTGCTGTCTGTGCTTTTTTTGTTTGTTGACTTCTTTTCACCGTATTCTTTTCCGGACTACAGAGCATGGAGGAGAACTTTGTTTTATTCATTCTACTTGTATTCTGTCCATGCACCACCTACTTGAGCTCCCAGTGAGCTAACAATGGTCATACTTCATTACTTCATCATGCATCACCAGCGTCAGTGATATACCAGTAGTCCATCCAGCCTTTATTTAAACAGTGAGTTGCCTCTAGCCATTACTGAGGTGCCTCCAGCCATTATTTTCCTCACCTCTAGAGTGACTGACTTATGGATATCTACTGCATTGCCTCGGGAACTGATAGAGCTTATGTGCAGACTGTGTAATAAAATGATTGTAACAGTGCTTAATGCAACAATTTTTAATGCACAGTATTTATATTGTTCCCTTCAATGTGAATTCCACTGATTTCTTAAAATATTTGCATGATGCAGTCAGATGTAATCATAGTCATTCAGAGTGGTTTGATATGAAATGCTGCATTGGAGAGAAGCTTACCGACTTACTAATGTTCTTTACAACGGTGGTAGCCTGGTCATGATGTCTGCAGCAAAAATATAGCCATTTTTTTACTATCCAGAATGACCAGAGAACCTGCACGTCTTCTAAGATTTCATATGTGATATGGATAATGGTAAAAAGTGGTAAATCTAAAAAAATAAGCTTTATTTGGGTATTATTTTGCCTTACAACACCCTGAATGTATCTCTACTTTATGAATGAATGTTAAAAAATGTATTTTAGGTCAAAAACTTTTCTCAAAACTATCATAAAACAATGTCTCAGGAATCAGACCATGTATTAGTGTAATATTTCTTGTATTATCTTTCTGTGACGTGGCTTTTAGAGGCATTAATCAGAGGTTTGGTTTTTATTACCACCATGTGAATAATTCTGAATCTATAAGTTTCTCTAGAATGGAACACTTCACATAAATCCACTCTGAATCTTGTCAACATCTTAACACTTTAATTACTCATAAATAAACTTTGATATACTTTACATATCACTTTCATACATATGTAACTTGTGTATTAGTTTCCTAGTAGTAGCGAATAGTTTACAGTGCTTACTGATTATGTTTTAGGGTTAACTGAATACTAAGCATGCAGTTTAAGGCATTATTAATTATATAAAAGAGATGATTAATTTCATACAAAAACATGGTGAAGAATCTCTAGAGTCCACTTGGTATTTTGGATTTTCACCTGTAAAGTGTCCAACACACCACTAGATGGAGCTCCATCATTGAGGTATTATTTCCCCATATGCATTCGCTCACTAATTTTTTTTTTTCTGGTTAAAATTCTCAGTTTATATTTTGGGGGTCTGTGGCTAGTTGCTGAGCTTGAGCAGTGGATGACTCCTGTCATCAGCTCATGTGTGGACATAAGTGTTAGGCCACACCTGTGTGTTTGCTGACAGCCAGAGTCACTTAGACCTCTAGGTTTAAGACACATTAACCTCCTCTTCTATGTGGAAACTCCAAGTGCTGATCATCTGTGGCTCTCAGCTGCGGGTGGAGTTATGCAGTGTGAGTCACACCTCTCTCTAAGTCTCTAAGTCTCTCTCCCTCTCCCTCGCCCATCCTATCCATCTCTCCCTCCTCTCAGCTGTTGGGTTGGGTCAGAGCTGCTCCTCTCTGCTGTCTCTCATCCTGTCAGGCAGCTTTGCACGAGTCACCATATGCTCCTGAGAGCACAGCGAGAGTCCGAGCATTTCCCCCAAATCCAGCCAAGGGGTGGGGAGGGAGGGAGGGAAGGAGGAAGGGTGAGGGGGGGCGTTGGAGAGCCGGATAAGCCAGGGGAGCAGAGGAGAATCAGAGATATGCAAACCAAATTACCAAGAGAAGGGACAGTGAGGGGGTGGGTGGGAAGGTGGGTGCTCTGCTGAACCCATCCATTGTCTCTTGGATCATGGGGCACATTGATGGGTACTATGGAAATGGAGTGTATATGCAGTACTGTACAAAAGTCTTAGGCACCTAAATGCATTGCTTTAAACCATTAATTGCATTTTTGCTCATACAAAACACTAAACAACATTCAAATAAACCGTGTATCTCCATTTTTGTCATTTTTTCAGTTTTTGACGTAATTCGAAAATGCCTGTTGTCCTTTACATTATGAGTAAAGTTCATGATGAAAGAACTAAAAGAAATGGCCCAAAATTACTGAGAAAAAAGTCTGGTTCCATTGGCGTACATTAAAAGTAAAGTATGTTTTTTCCTTCTCCTGTAAAGTTATCATTTTGGAGACACAAGGTTTTGTTCTGACAGCAGAGAAATGCAAACATTAATGCAGTAAAAAGTAACAAGAATTTCTCCTTTTTAAAAAAAGTAGTTGATACCTTTTGACCTGGTTAGAAGAACACACTTTTGGTTCCAGATTTCTCCCCGATGCCCCAGCCATTGCATGTATTGTTCAATTCAATGACCAGCAGAGAGGTTTTGAAATGGTTAAACGAAAACACTGATGTACATAAAATCAATAATTTTGTAATAATGTTAATTATGTTTATCCTAATATTAGTGTTGTTTTGCAAGTAAAACACTTATTGCCCAGATAAATGGGTTTTTAAATATTAATATCATTATTTCTCAGCAATGACACTGACATGGTACTGACATATTAGTGGTGGTTCTGTTGGTACAAGTGCATCTGTGTGGCTGGAGTTTTGAACACTTTTTTTGGTCCACCTTGTAGATGTAAAGTTAGAGACAGCAGCTCATCTGTTGCTGCACAGTTTCAGTTCAGTTTCTGACCAGCAGTGACAGTGAGCTGTTTAAAACCGCAGCAGCACTGCTGTGTCTGATCCACTCTGTGCAGCATACACACACACTGGCATGTCACCACCATATCAGTGTCACTGCAGGAATGAGAACAATCCAGCACCCATATAATACCCACTCAGAGGTGGTCCTGTGGGGGTCCTGAGCATTGACAAACAGGGCAAAGGGGGGCTATCAATGCAGAGAAGAAGATGGACAACAATCGGTGATTGTAGAGCTACAAAATGCACCTATATAGTAAGCAGAGCTGATAAAATGACATGGGTGTAGATACAAGCTACACAATACAGCGGCCAACAAGTGCATTACTCATCGATTTAATAGATGACACATGATGTGATGGTGATGATGATGATGATATTAGGGTGGTTCCTGACTTTTGACTAACCTTGCAGGTAACAGTTTATGTTATAAAAATGGAATATAGAGTAATATCGGTGGTGGTGGTGTGGCCCAAATAAATAAATGAACTAATGGAAAATGAAGGGATGAGTCCATCCTATCATATGTTGTAGAAGAGGTGAGGGCAGGCCTGTGCTGTTACTGCCTCAGAGAGGTGTGTGTGCTGTGGGGGAGTGGGGGTAGTGCTGTTTGTTTGGGAAGATCACGCAGCTCGCAACATTCCACAGCGTCTGAGGAACCGGACATCTTCCACTCCCTCTCTCACACACACTCTCTCTCTCTCTTTCACATACACTCCCTCTCCCACACTCTCTCTCTCTCTCTCTCACACACACACACACACTCTCACTCACTCTCTCTCACATACACTCCCTTTCTCACACACACTCTCTTTCACTCACTCTCTTTTTATGTCACACACACCCTCTCTCCCTCTCCCTCTCTCTCTCTCTCCCTCACTCACTCACTCTCACTGTCCCTCTTTCTCTCTCACTCTCCCTCTCTTTCCGAGGCAGTGTTTAGGGGCACTCCTGTGGTGCTGGTCATGTGTGCAGCTGGAGAGAGAGAGAGAGAGAGAGAGAGAGAGAGAGAGATAGAGAGAGAGAGAGAGAGAGAGAGAGAGAGGTTGAGTAACGCTAATCCCCCTCCCCTCTCAGGAAAGCGCTCTGCCTCGTCTCGCGCGCAGAGAAAACAACAAAGATCTGAGTGTGGCCGCAGCCTCAAGGCTCAGCGCGCCCACCACAACCTCTACCGTGTCACGGCTTGCTCTCTCTCTTTCTCTTTCTCTCTCTCTCTCTCTCTCTCTCTTTCTCTTCCCAAGAGACAAAATGTTCGCTCAAAGTGGCTTGGTCCAATTTTCCATTTTGTCTTTACTCCAAGGACACATGTGTGCAACAAATGCCCACTCTCACATGCACGTATTCACAAGTTTCATTTGAAAAATGAAACATAAGTAACTGTCTGTAAAATAAATCTCACCTGTAAGAAAGACGAAGGAGGAAAAACCTTATGTAATTAAGAGAATAGTGGTTTTATTCTGCCAGTTTTGAAAGGTGGAACAAAGTCTTTCAGACAGGAAAAGAGAGAGTGGGAGAGTAAAAAGTGTGGCTATGTGAATTAAAAGGTGAAACTCGGGTGTCACGAATGCAGATGTTAAATTTTGTGATTCTCAAGTCTTAAAATGTGTTTGATTTATGATTTTTGTTTCTGGCACTCAGTGCCAGGCGTTTCAAGTCTTCCAAGGTTAATCATCACCAGAGGGCAGTAGCGAGGGACTAGCCATACCATAGGCATTACTGGTGTGTCCAGTCTCACAAAGGAGTCCTGACCTTAAGATCTGTGGTGCCTTAGACTCTGAGAAAGGATAGTAGTACTATCTGAGCTCTGTGTGAGCAGGACTGCTGCTTCTGTGTCTCTCTACTGTTTAACAACAACTGCTTCTTCATTTCACTCCATGCAGTAAAGCACCAAAGCAGAGCAAGTTGTCAGCAGTCTTTGAATGTGATTTTAAAGGTGTTAAAAAGCACATGTGTATGTGTGTGTGTGAGGAGGGCAGCCACAAGGGGATAAATCTCAGTCTTATATGGTAGCTTAACTACATTCCTAAATTAATTAAACACTGTTTGTGTTGAAGACAATTAGAGCAGTAATTTTTTTAGTAGTGCTCGAATTTTGAGGGGTCACAAGATGGCTCCTGAAAAAAGTACAAAAGCCTATAATGATGAGAACGACTTTTCCATTATATCTCCCACAACAGTGATCATGTTATCATTGGTGAATGAATAATGAATTGGTGTATTATGAATAAAAAATGTGCTGTCAAAGTCACAAGGGATAGTGGGATAGTGGGCGGCAAGAACTTTACTGTTGAGCTGATTTTAACTGTATACAGTGGCATGCAAACATTTGGGCACCACGATCCAAATTTCTGTGACTGTGAATGGCTGAGCAAGTAAAAGATGACCTGATTTCTGAAAGGCAAAAGTTAAAGATGACACATTGCTTTAATAGCAAGATTACTTCTTTATTTCCATCTTTTACAGTTTCAAAATAATAAAAAAGAAAAAGGACCTGAAGCAAAAGTCTGGGCACCCTGCACAGTTAATATTTAGCAACATATCCTTTGGCGTGCATCACAGCTTATAAGCACTTTTTGTTGGCGG